CACAAACTGAAAGGCTTCTGTAGGAACTACAATATGATTAGAACCTATCAATTCCACTGGTTAACTAAACTAGATATCTTTATGTATTATAGGACATTCGCCTTGATGGCTGATCAGCGAATGACGCTCCATATAGGCGGTCAAACAGAAACGTTGACGGTGGGCTCGTGATTGGTTTCGATCGAAATATTATCCTTGACTTTGCTGCCAAATGGATGCCTATTCGTAGATTCCGAGGTATCACTTAAGCCAAATGTTACGTTTGAAGGGTAAACGCACACCGGCCTATTCCTTCGTATTTAACACTAGCCTCGGTCCGAGCGCTACTGACTGTATGGTTTTTGGTTGTTTGTCCATTTCCATGCAACCTCATATTTCAGTAAGTATCAAAACACGAGGATGCAGACCATATGAAATCGTTAAAGAACTAAGTTGACGAGAATGGGGAACCACGTGGCCCCTGGATAAATACAGAAGCTGGCCCATCACTAGTAGTTCCTTCGGTCAGTGGGAGCTGCAATTTTTGCAATGGCATATCATTCAAAAGTGAAATGAGCAAAGTGAGATGGACATACCCTGTCACGCACGATACATACCTTATTTACACTAACTCAAAGTCACCATTTCAGTTTAGAGTTGCACCACATCTTGTGTCGTTCTGACCATAACCTGATTTTCTAAACCATTTCCACATGCAGGCCTAAGGTTACCAGATCACCAATTTTCAGATGGCATTGAAATCTGTTAGTTACAAAGGCCTTCTCAGTTGGCTGACTGGAAGAACAGGAGAAAAATACTATAAGTAGTTTGGGTAATTTCTGCCTTATGAGCAGTTCGATTTGCAAACCAGTCTGCTTACCATGTAGTCAAAAAATAAGTGAGCCAGAACTCCTAAAATAGATATCTAGCTTCGAACACAGAATTCGAAACGACGACACTGAAGATTGGTGGATTGTTTAATGAACTGGTTGGACTGACAATAAGTGTTCCTTAAGCGAGACCAAAATACCTGTACATCTTCCACTGTGCCTAGAAAATGAACGGGTTGCGATGCATTGTAATTAAATACGTGGGAACATAAAGGCCACAAAACCAGTGCTCAGGTGGGCTCCATCAGGAAAACGAGGAGCAGTAGCAGGCAGTGGAAAGATCAAATGACGGAAGCACCGAATTAGGAGCGACCGGTGAGAATAATTGTGATTACAGGTTACCTGATAGAATACTTCGAAGAGTAATGATTAAAGTGCACTGAAGGGAGAGAGTGAGAAAAGAATAATTGACCTCATATGTCAAGTGGAATAAATGCACTTGGAGCTGATAATATGCATGAAAGTTGGGATTGACAGGATTTGTTTCTTAAACTTCGTTCGCATTGGCCGCATCTTCAAAATTACCCTGCATATTTCGAGTCCGGCGGTTACTTATGTAAAGAAGTTCTCGAAGTTACCCATCGGAATGGTTTCCAGCGAACCTATAGACCATACTGATCTGATAGCCATTTCAGTCTTAGGTCCTACAGCTTGTTTTGGGTCCATGAGAACAAGATCCTCGGTTCACTAATCACCACAGCCTACCGTACCGTATTAGTTGTTGGCCTCTTTGATGAGAGTGGCAGTTAGACTTTAAACGGCTCGTCAGCATTCTGGGAGACGCCACATATACTGTATCTGGTATCCGTGTCGTTTTCTGGTAACTGCTTTTATAAGCAGAGTGACCTGCATTACCCAAGCCTTCTGGCTGGTTTTTGGTTTGTTCTGGAGCTCTGCATCATTGCCTCCCCTCCCGATTTCCCTGCAGGTAGCTGATTTATTATACGCATTCATTTCAAATCGTTTGGACAACCCGCTTGATCTGGTTTCACCGATGCCTGTGTTGATATAAAGTTTTTCGAGTTGTTCCGGTTGTTCTTCTCTGTCCGTCTGTTCATTGGTTGGGCTGGAACATCTGACACATTGTACTATAAAGATGATCTCTTCAGATAAGCTGCAAACCTTCGGACATTACTCACCTTCATTGATTTTTCTGGCATATCTGGTGTGTTGTGATAAGTCGAAAGAGTTTCCGACTGGTTCCTGTCGGGCCTTCTGCTGAAATCAACTTGGTTCAACCACTGGTTTTAATCTCTTCTGTTTCTGGGTTTAGGTTTTCTGCAGCGTAGTGTGTAGAGGCTTTGAATTACTTATAGTTAGCGTACACTACGCTATATGTCTCCACCTCCTTTCCATGATAGTCAATGTCTCGATAAACTTACAATGTCTCTGTGTTGAGATTCGAGCCAATACCCGTATGCCGTTTCAAAGGAATTGGTTCGCTGCCGAATTTCATCTATGGTCATGTGTTAATTGGTCGTACCTTTTAGATAGAGGCTATTGTTCGTGTATTCTAATAGGTGCTCTTCTGTCGGTTAGCCAACAGTAATATTTTGTCACTTCTGCTGGTTTGGATTTGCAATATACAAAGGAAACCTAGTTACAGCACCTGATATTACCTTTATCGAATACAGATACGTTTGTGCGCTAGTGCTAACTTGTCCTACAGTAACTTCGGGGATATTCCTGATGGAATAAAAGATAAGTAATCTGTTGCCCACTTGTCATAATAGCGTGCCCCGAGAAATGTCCAACTAAATGTTTCAGGATAAAGTTCCCTTGATAAACGCCCATGTAGGTCTTTTCAATCTTCTACTTGCAACTCACTTGATGATCCTTGTGACGTACTGGTACTCGTTTTGGATGTGTTACCCAGTTGCGAGTGAACGATTGTAGTTGTCTATTCGGCAATACTGCGAAGAGCGCACCGGAGGACGTCTAACTGTTTTCTCATTCCCACCAATGTTAACCAGTTGTCTTTGAAGTTAATGTTATGTGACATGCTGTTCCGTTGGCGTTAAGGTAAAAAAAAGCGACACCAAGGCCATAGCTCTCCAAATTGTGACTTACAAAATGGATTTTGAAACCCGAAATTCTACTGGTATATCTTTTTTTTATTTCAGGTAAGTGTTATACACGGAATCTAATGTATCTCGGTTCACAGACGGCTCTATCCAACTCTTCACAGTGATCCAGGAGTTCAGCTATAATTGATTTAGAGGATGCCCAGTCAACTGAAATAAACAGGAGAAGGAGGAGAAGGATAACACCAAGTGAAATCGAATTAGGTGCTTTAGCTTTCACCATAAATCTCTTTGGAGGTTATAAGTTGCCATTCATGACAGTAGTATTGGTCGTAGACGTGTAGTTAAGTTAAGTTGTGTACACTCGGGTCTACAGACTTGTGGAACATCTTCGTCATGCAATTGCGTTCTCCGGCAATTTTCGTTTTACCCAATCCGAGGTGCTTGAGTCACTGCAGATTTGTCGGTTTTATTGGCATACTTTGCAGTTTTATCCCCTGAACGGCGATTTGAGACTTGGACTTTGGCTTGGCTTACATAGTCCGCCTTGTCCATTATGCCGGTCATGGGTTTTTTTGCCGGCCGGTAGGATGGCACGAAATTTGTTTTTCTGTAATCTGATGATGATTCCGTCTCCTGACTTTAGAAGTCCTTGTATTTCATCGCAAACTGTAGTTGATGTGATTGACGCACTTGTTCCTAAAAGTTCTATTTGAACTATTTAGTCTTTGTTGCTGAATCTGAACAGACTAAGTGTTCGAAATTCGGAGCAAATTTAAAATTTAGGCTGAGTTCTTTGATAAGCCATTTTTGTTCCACTTCCGACTTCTGTACTAAGAAGAGTTATTGTTCATTATTCAGTAATAAGCTCTCTATTCTTAGTGTTTCTAGCTAACATGGATAGTTTGACTTCACGATTAGCCTTCTTGTTCACGGTCTGTGTTCTATTGCTCCGGCGTTTCAGGTGAACTGATTTCTCTGTTAGTTGACAACGTGGTAATTTTTCCTCGCATCCAGCGCCACGATTCAAACTATTAATCTACCTTTCTCTCTGACAAACACCCGTGGTTGAACAAGACTCAAATGTGGTTGGAGAAGATCACACAACAAGCTTTCTTGGAACAAAAGTGCCTGTAAAGATTTATCACGTAATACGCAGAGGCACTTAAGGTTGCCCAGGAATATTTTGTTTCTTTGGTTGAATAAATTGCGGACGGATCAGTTTGTATTTCCAACAAGCTGGTGCCAATCACGGTCTGCGGAACTGATGAGTGAGCTAAGCAAGATTTTATCTCTCAAATGCATACATCTTCCTGGCTCCAACAAATGGTGACTGCTGTCAAGCAACCCAAATCCGCGGGGTCGTGTGAGGTGTGCAAATCAAATGCCTACGGAAAAATGTGCAGCTAAGCTCCTGCTTAGAAAGTGACTTTGATTTAACAAAAATCTCAAATGGATCTCAGCTAAACCTCTTTCTAATGATAAGTTTCAGCAAAGTATGCTGCACAAGCGTCCTTCTTACTGAATGTATTGATCGCCAACGAACTTTGCCACAAGGTGTGTTTGTGCACGAGCGAACTTTAAGGTGTGTCGGAATGCCTTTCAGACAACATTCTGCTGTCATCATCTGGACAGGACAATTGTCAGTTTCATAAAATTACTGAACTGCAGTATATACGTTGTAGGATGTAGGATCCGGCTAGCCTGTACACACAGGCAATACTGTGGGAAGCTGTTCTAAATAAGCTGAGGTTTGGGTCTGATGTAAGCAGTCAAATTAGTAACATCTTAATGTCCGTCATTTGTTCCTCGGTGGTCGAAACGTCAAACAGTTACGTTTGGTAGATCCGCCGCTCAGTAACCAACGTTTCCATGATGTAAGAAAAGGCAACTTTTGCAGCATTACTATCGTACTATTATTATTATTATTATTATTATTATTATTATTATTATCGTGCAAACAGTTCCTACGTAAAAACGGTCGTTGAGAGCAGATTAGATAAACTGATGAATTCAGTGTGCCGTTTTAGACTTGAGTGAATGCTGGAGTCTTGGAAAAAGAAAAATGTGGACGTCTCTTATTACTTGAGTAATTCATTCCCAGAGCAATGATCGCGCGTTTATATACCATCTAGCTATTGATTTGAAAAAAACAGCTTGACTCTACATAGAGGATATTTCATCAGCATACCTCATTAAAACATCTAGAGACGCACACAAGCTCTTAACCATAAGATGCATCCCATAACACACCAAAAGCACAAATTTCACCCTACTTGACGCTGTTTTTGGAACCATTGACTAATAACCGTGATAGCGGAGATTTATCCGTCAGATTTCGCAACAAGGAAAATACGTCCTCAGGAAAAGCTGTTGGTTGTTATGTTAATCTAAAATTAGAAGCCGTTCAGCGATCTTTTTAGCAATCTAAACACCTACCTAAAAAGCATGTCCTTGAAGCTTCGCTTCAGGAGCCTTGATGTTCACAAGATAACGTTATCATTTGTCCACCAAACTGAAGTACACATTTACTTGGACATCGTTTGATGCCTTCTACGAAAATAGCAGAGCTGGCAAATCAATTGCGTAGGGTGGGTTGGAAAGCTCAGAATGATCCCAAAATGGAAAACCGTTAAATTTCTTTCCCCAATAAGTGTTGTCAGATTGATTCAAACAGTGGGACTCACAAGCAGCAAACTTCAACGGAAGAGAATCCACGAACATTTCCCCATCACAAGTAGTTTACCCAAGTACTTAGCTTCCTAGTTCTATGATTAGTTTCAGCTCCAAAGTCCCATACTACCTTCAATTTTTTCAGATCGTCTGGGATGATATTTTGTGTATTTGTCGTGCTGCTGGTCATGAAGTTAATATGATAATGGTGGTAACTAAGGGTTCAGTCACTGTGCCGGTGCACGGGACAATCGGAAACAGACGCAAGAAAAATAAGAATAGTTCACGCTTTATACCACATTCTGAAAAGCTGAACACTGTTATATTAAACACTTCGCTTCTTCATAGAATTCACTCCAACAACCGGTAGCCTCCTGCGCCACCATATTGGTACTGTGCAGCTCTATTTTAGTTGAAGACGGAATAGTTAAGAGCATCTCAGGTGAACTCAGAGTCAACAAGCTACAAGTCTTTGGAAAAAGATCATTAGAAACGTCTGTTGTTGCAGATGTACCTCGAACAATTAGTCATTAAAAGCCTCAAGCGCGTTGGGGGAACCAGCATAAGAGTAAGTCACATGTGTCACGGTAATACTGTTTAGCTAAGTTATGATCGAGCCAACAAACTAACTGCCACAGACAGAGTTACACAAAATGACTGAAAGCTAACGCTCACTTAAGGAGATGGGTTCATCAACTGTAAATCCTACTTACAGGAGTGGACAAAAATTCTGTTATTCGAGTTTTGAAGTAAAATTTGTTCTCAATGAAACGAAGATTACAAATTCTCTCTGTGCAATAAAACCCAAAGACTTACAATGATCGGTATGGCAGCTTGTATTTTGAATACATGTAGGAAATATTCCAAATGAAGAACGCGAAAAAGAGTGTGGAATGTACAAAAAAATTAGGCAGATTTTGTCAAGCATGGTGTCCTTATTTTTACACGTAAAAAACGTTGTGATGCTTCTGTGATTAAACCAAGCCAAATCGAATTCAAAATGTTTGTCTTCCTGGCAATATTCCTAAAAAACAAGAGAGTGGATTAACAAAGTGTTGGGCTGCGTAAAAAACAGATTTGATTACTTTGGACAAGAGAATTCCATGGCGCTTTTATGAAATATGGATAAAAAAGGGTGAGTTCAGCGTTTGTCCGGTGAGTTGCGACGAACTTTGGCCTACGTTAGTTTCAAAAACACATTTCTCGTGGTGACATTTGGATGACAGTCATTATTCGTGCAAATGATCGATGTTTGTAGTTCATATCTCAGGCGTGCATGTATTTCAGGGAATAGCGGAGTCATCTCTTCCGATCTACTTATTCGTTTCTCAGAGGCCCTGAAACAGCCCTCAAGCAACATCCTGGCTTTGAGAGTGATGAGATCTGTTGTTTATGCCATATGCTCTAGAAAATAGAGAACCATTAGGCATACTATTATAACTTGATAAGTCAGGCGGTGAATATCAAAGGTTAGTTTTGGATGGATAACGTATAACATGCAGTAATAATATGTGGTATATAGTTTGTGATGAATTCGATGGCTCCAGATAACTCAGAGGTTGAGACGAGAAATTAGTGACCGAAATGTCCGTGGTAAAAATCCAATCTCTGTACCGCGAGTGCTCCTGCCTAGATCTGGGTGAACTGACGCGTTTCAATTCACATCCTTCTTTTGGGTGATATTGCTTCTGAGTATCAAAAAGGTGATTTAACTGGCTAACATACTTGGTAATAGCTAGCACAAATTGTGATGATCTAC